TAACCACTGAGACAGTACTCCAGCCCCTATTCTTTATCTGATTTTTGCTATGAATTTGGCTGTTTTAATTGGCTTCTGGAGGACAGGTGGTTGAACCTGGCTTCTTGGGGCAGAGCCTATGACCTCAAGTTTACTAACAAAAGCCTGGCATCTCTGCTTTCACTTGGTATCTGGACTCTGGAGACAGAAATGTCACTGTCCTTTGTCCTTAACCTTTCCTCTTGAATCATCTTGAATTCCAGGAAGAGCACTTTTTAAGACAGACCTGGACAAGGAAGGGTCAATAATGAACAGATGATTGACAAATTAACAACAACCCATTGGATCACCTTGCTAAGTCCATAATGGGTTGGGCCACACCTTGACTGGGACTGCTTAGCTATGCACACCTCTTGCCCACTGAAAGGTAAATCTCATGTCAGCATCCTGAAGATCGACTTGAGGTCACTGTGAGGCAGGACAGCAAGACAGGAAAAACTATGAGGCCATGGGAGGGCAAGTATAAGAAAAGTCTGGCTTGCCCATCCTTTTGATAGAGTTGAAAATTTTCAGCTGTCACTGGTTAAAGCCAAAATTGCTCATAGAGACAACCTGCATTTTGCTGAAGACATGTTGTCAAGGCTGGTAAAGGGCAGTGCTTCCGCGGGCCTTCTGACAAGCCCTTCTTCTCCCTGAGCCTGGACAGTGTCCACACATTTACCACACAATTTCTTTACAGAAAGGAAGTCTGTTCTCTTTTTATTTTTCTCTTTTCACTTTGTTGCCCCAGCTGTCCTGGAACTTGATATGTAGATCTGGCTGGCCTCAAACTCACAGAGTGTTGGGATTAGGTGTGCACCATGCCCAGCTAAAAATCTTTAAATTTTAGCCACTTGCTCTTTGTAGCCACCTACACTCTTTGAGAAATGTTAAAAGAGAGGAGGTTCTTAACAGTTTTAAAGATGTAACTTCAGAGCCACTAAATTCCTGTCTATCCACTCTGTGAAGAATCTCCCTGGAGTAGCCACACTTGTCCTGTCAGGTTCTTCCTTTCTTCCTCTCCCCCAGGCCCTTATTGCCTGCTTTTAATAAATTCAACTTCGTTTCACATTGGCTCACCCTGACATTCATTTCTCTGTCAAAGCCATGAGCTTTGCCCAGGTGGAGTCTTCGAACCCTCAGAGACATGGAGACGTGTCTCTTTGACTCTTTGACCTAGGTCCCTTTATTTGTTCCCCTTCCCAACATAAACCTTCCTCTGCCTTCACTATAATTAGCCTCTTTAATTGGCTTATTGGGGAAGGGTGACTAAAACAAGCTGGTTGAGGATACAAGAGTCCAGTCTTTTACCGGAAAAATGTCCATAAAAAATGAGCAGGTCAAGTCAAGGCCAGGTTCAGCCACGCCCCAGCTTCAAAAATGCTCTTCACACTCCATGTACACAAAAGACTAGGTTAAGCTTTAGGGGTCTTAAGTCCCCAAACTGGGACCTATCCAGAGACAATGGCTCATTTTGACAAACAATTATACTCAATGACCCCCAATGGGGGATGGGAGGGTTGGGGAGGGGGAGGGGCAAAGGACACACACTGTTCAAGAGCAGGGGCCACAACTGTTTTGCTATTGTAATGGTGATGTTTCTCCCACACTGAACACATCTATCGTCATTCTGAAGCAGAGTATTGGTGAGGAGCCCACCAGACCAGTGGTTCTAACCCTGTGGGTCGAGACCCTGGTCACATATCATATATCCTGAATGTCAGATATTTACAATTCATAACAGTAGGAATGGGATAATTTTATGGTTGGGGGTTACCACAACATGAGGAACTGTTTTAAGGGGTCGCAGCCTTAGGAAGGTTGAGAACTACTGCACAAGGTGGGATTTACCAGTATTCCACCATGGAAGGGGAAAGTCACAATTGCTGATGTGGGGCTCTCGGTGGTGATGCCCCTGCCCTGTTCCTGTTAGACAGCTGATGAGGATGCTGGCCTACCCTTCCCTGAGCTCTCCTTCCAAAGCCACAGCCTCTTGCAGACCTCCACTGATGCTGCTAACTCAGAAGTCATGGGTTTCTTCTGCATTTCTGTGCTCCAGGCATCTGCCAGGAGTTACACCTCACCCCGTCGTTCTCTCAAGCTTCCTTCTGACTCTGTTTTAAAATTCTTTCATCAACCAGACTACGAACCAGCAAGAGGAACCCAGTAACGTGTGTCTTACTCCATTCTTCGGCTGAGATACAAAGGAGCATCAATCACATCATGGGACACCCTGAGACTCTCTCTGGTGATACTCCAAATAAAGTCATTGGCTCACCAAGCTGGACTTACTCAGGGTCTTTGATCTGTCTGTATCCTCTTTCTCTGGAATAAACAGATGTTTCCCCAAGAAAGTCACACAACAGCTAGTTATTGAGGTTTTCAGAGTAACCTTGGGACAATATATGGAAACTCAGAGACCAAGTCCAGACAGTTTAGAAGTCAAGGGACTTCACTGGCTTATTTCAGAAAGACTGACAAAGCACCAGCCCTCCTGTTGGCTGTTTCCAATATTACAATGTAGGTGTGTCAAACTGGAAATCCAGATACAGTATTCCCAACCTCTGCAGACCTCTGTAGACACCAATGTGTAGAGATCACTGGGCAAATCCAATCCAGATAACCAGACTTAAAATGTCCATTTTCATTTTCTGAGGCTAGACGGTTTACAGGGACCAGCAGTTTTATTTTAAAAGGCATTATAAAGTCCAGGGATACAGGAAGAACTTAGTTGCTACTATGCCAGAGGCCATACCCCCCCTTCTTACATTTCTGCCCCCAAAGTGAGCTCACTGCCCTTATTTATTTGAGTCCTATAATTAGAAGGGTGACAACCAACATTCACAGGCTCTGAGGCTGGGCCCCTTACACTCACACCCACACTGATATCTGGGGGAAGTGAAATGTTGATGCCTAAAATTTCCCCCAATAAAGCATTAAGATCTAATCTTATTACACCCCCCGGGTAGTACAGATCCCTAAATAGGTGGCAATAACTCACTTCAAGGGACCCTATGGCATAGACCCTAAGTCAGTCAAGATGATGATGTAAAAAGCTGGGGGCAATGACAAGGCTGAGTGGGTTAAGGCACTTGCCACCATGCCTGATGACCTGAGCACTTTGGCACATACACACAAATGCACAATAAAAATAAATAAATAGGGTTGGAGAGTTGGCTCAGTGGTTAAGAACACTAGCTGGGGGCTGGAGAGATGGCTCAGAGGTTAAGAGCACTGACTGCTCTTCCAGAGGTCCTGAGTTCAATTCCCAGCAACCACATGGTGGCTCACAACCATCTGTAATGAGATCTGGTGCCCTCTTCTGGCCTGTAGGGATACATTCAGACAGAATACTTATGCATAATAAATAAATAAATCCTTAAAGATAAATAAATAAATAAATAAATAAATAAATGTTTCCCCCAAAAGCTTTAAAATTTGGAACAATTCAAAACTTTAAAAAAAAAAATGCTAAGCTTGTAGTCAAAGCTCTAGGCAGCCACATAAATTTGTGACCCTACCCCCAGAGCCTCCTGACTTAGTCAACACACACAGCACTCCTCCTCCGAAGTGTGTGCCAATTTCTCTCTGCTGAGGAAATGTTTAAATACTCATCTTCATCTTTTGTGGCCCTTGTTCCTTAATACTCAGCATCCTACTGAATTCCCTCTGTCCAGGCTCTTCCCAAGTAGCCTTCCCAGGGCTGCATCTCTTGCTGAGTTCCTCCAAAACTTGAGATTGTCTAAGTCCTGTGTTCATTGAACAGAACATGATGTAGGAGACTGCTCTAGGTGACACACTGTTCCTGGACTAATAATTTACAATAAAACTAGGGGCACTGGTACATACCAGTATAAGCATGCTATAAAGCTCGTCAGGCAGTGGTGGCACACACCTTTAATCCCAGCACTGGGGAAGCAAAGGCAGGCTGATCTCTGTGAGTTCGAGGCCAGCCTGGTCTACACAGTGAGTTTCAGGACAGCCAGGGCTACACAGAGAAACTCTGCCTCAAACAAACAAACAAACCCCTACCTAAGATCAAGAATGGTGGTGCACATGGCCACCCTGCCCCCATGATCACCAAACCATGATGATTGGTCCTTGGGCTCAGATGGATTGGACAACAGCAGTGAAGACAGAGGTGACCCAGCTTTGCTCTTACCCCTTTGCCTTGCCCTCATCTGAGTGGGAAAACCTGGCCTTGACCATTGTTGTTCAGCAGTGGGACCACCAGCACCTGGTAATCTCTGAGGAATGATCGATCCCTCCTGGCCAGTGGAGGATAAGTCTGACTTATCCAACTCCCAGTGTTGCTTTTCCATCTTCCAGCTACTTAGCTAACTTGGGCCACTTCTCCCTGGACCTGCTCTCCTCCTCTCCTTCCATTTCATCCTCCCCGATGGGTCAAAGTCCAGGAGGGTCAGTGAGGACACAGAGTGCCCCGAAGCCTGGACCTGATGGTGTCTACTCTGGCTGCTTGCACTTTCTTCCCAGCCTCATGTGGTATACATTTCACCACCTCAAGGGCCAGGACTTCTGCTCGGAGCCTGTTGGAAGGGACAGTGTCAGGAAGAGCAGCACCTTAGTGGATTAGGACACAGCACAGCACAGCTGGGGCTGGTAGGGCTCTGAGATGGCACAGGACAAACTCACAGACAAGTCTCTGAGAGAGGATGGGAGACAGAGCTGGAGCTGGGGAAGGATAGAGCAGTGGCTTCCTCAAGAGGTCTCTATGCATGAAGCCGGTGTGTGGCACATCATGGGCACCTTACCCAGGCAGCACTGAAGCTGTGGATGCTGGCTGGGATTCAGATCCACAGCTGCCTGGTTCTCAAGCCCTTTCTCTTTCTTGTGTACAGGTGGTCATCTGAGGGGGCATCTGCTCTGGGGCTCGGAGAATGGTGACGGGACCTCCAGAATAAATTAATAGCCTTCAGAACAAAGTAAAAAAACAGATAGACAAAGATGAGAAACACAGAGAAGAAGCAAAAAACCACCAAGTTCTCTTCAAACTGCATATCATTCCGGGCTGGAAGAGCAGCCATAACAGATGCTGGAGACATGGCTGCGGTGACAAGAGCCACCTGACCAAACGTCAGTTAGGATTTCTTGCTTTCAGCCAACAAGGTCGAAGAACAGTCTAGAAATGCTGCTGCTGCTGCTTAGCTTCAAAAGGAGGAGGCTTCTCAGTTCCAAATGTCTCCAGGACAGTCACGCCGCGAGCTCCGGATTCTCAGTTTTGTTTTTTATACTGCAAGACAGTGGAGAAGGACTCTGGTCATGTCACAGGTGTCCCCACCTCCCTGGCAGGGAGGCCGGCCGGAGGTGCTGGGACTGAGAATGGCACTCACCAGTCTTGTCTGTGGGAGAAAAGTCCCCAGCAAAGGAGGCCTCAAAACCAACCGCTGAGGTTTTTCTTTTTCTGGTTTTTGTTTTGGCTTTTGTTTTTTTCTGTCAGGGATATGTCCCAGGGGCTTGTGCACTAGGCAAGCAATCTACCACTGAGCTAAATGCCCTGTCAAAATCTGAGTTTTACAAAAAAAAAAACAAAACAAAACAACAACAACAACAAAAAAACCATACTTGGAACATCTGAGTCAGGAGGAAAGGAATCCAGGGGTACACTCCATCCAGTTCTGCACATCCACTGTCTTTCCCCACCTAGAGTCTAGGTCCTAGACAGTCGCCTAGTTTTTGTCAACTTCACACACACTAGAGTCACCCGGGACAAGGCAATCTCAATTTAGGAATTGCTTCCATCAGATCGGCCTGTGTGTGTGCCTGTGGAGCATTTTCTTGACACAGGGCTAATGTGGGAGAACCCAAGCCACTGAGGGTGGTGACACCACTGGTCCCAGGATGTATATAAGAAAGGTAGCTGAGAAAGCCATAGAAGCAAGCCAGTTAGTGCTGTCCCCTGTGGTCTCTGTTTCTGTTCCTGCCTGGGCTTCCTTGGTGATGGACTATAGCCTGTAAGCCAAGTAACCCCTCTCCTGCCCTGAGGTGGCTTCTGTCAGTGTTCTATCACAGAAAAAGAGAACAAACTAAGACAGCTTCCCCCAAAGCCAGATACAGCTATGCCATGGCAGATAATAAAGCTGTCCTTCCAGGGAAACGCAGCTGTTCCTGCGCCCCTGTCAGCTCACTGCTGGGCAGTGATGTGGCCTTTCAGGACTAAGGGTGCTGAAAAACAATGCAACCATAAGAGATCATCCCCCTACCTGGGTGCACAGGCGTCGTGGGCAGCCTGTTTTCAATTGTGATGCGCAGGCGTCCCCTAGTGGCCTGGGAGGTTATAGCCTCCCGGGAGTCAAGCAAGAAAGCACTTACCTTGTTCATGATCCAGTCGGCATCTTCAATGGCTCTTTTGATTATCTGCAAGATTCTCTCGGGGTTGTCTTCATCTGAGTGGACCCGGAAACTCTGTAAGTTTCAGCATAAAAGAACATGGCCCAACGAAATTCGCAAGGTTGGTAACTTCAGCGCACAGTCCCAAGAGGCTGTGGGGCTCCGGTCACCTCAGCCCTGCTGAGGTGTGCGGTCCTGCCTACTTGGAGATGATGAGATGAGGCTTGGAGAGCCCACCCTGGGCTCTTAGATAGCAGCGTCCTCCTAGTCCATGACATTAAAGCTCGCCGTGCAGCCAGTAGGGAGGATGAAAAAGGAGGCCGGCCTCTGGGCCTGCAGGCTATCTGCGCTGATCAGAGCCAAGGGGAACCGCCAATCTCTGCATCTGATTTTCTCAGGAAAGGAATCTGCTTGGATCAGTGTGCTGGGGAGGGACTGGCCTTCCCTTCTTCCCCCAACCAGGTACTGGTGCTGGGGAAGCAACAGGGAAGGGAGGGAAGGCATGGCAGAAGGATATCCTGGGGGAAATTCTGCCAAGCTTGTGACCAGTGACCTAAGATTTGGGTTCATTGGTGTGAACCTCAGGGTTCTTCCAAAAGAATGGACTAGTCCCTCCCTTATCTGTGTTCCCAACCTCACATTCACCTACTCACACCGGGAGCCTACTTTGTGCCACCTCCAGGAAGTCTTCCCTGCATCCCCCAAAGTTAATTGCTCCCTTCTCTTTTCCCACAGCCTTTTATTGCTACCACTGTTTCTCTTTTTTCTTTTTGAGACAGGGGCTCACTATGTAACCCTGGCTAGCCTAGAACTCACTATGTAGTGAGTTCAAGTGAGCTCACAGAGATAGATCTGCTTCTGTCTCTAGAGTACTGGGATTAAAGATGTGTGCCGCCACCACGTCACGGTTGTTTTTCTTTTCCATATCTGTATGAAGTTTACCTTTTAGCGTTTTTATTTGGAAATGATTTCTTATAACTTTTTAAATTTTTTATTATTTTTGTGGTATGGTATTCTGCCTTGTATGTATGCCATGCACCACGTGCATGCAGTACCTGCAGAGGCCAGAAGAGGGCACTGGATCCCTGGAGCTGCCACATGGGTGCAAAGACTAGAACCTGAGTCCTCCGGAAGAGCTGCCACTGCTCTTAACCTTTCAGCCATCTCCCAAGCCCTGGAAGTGATCTCTTATAGAAAGATAGTGTAAAGTGCAAAGAACTCCCAACTAAACTTCCCAGTTAACATTTTCCCGTACTGCCTTTATTGCCCTTTTTTTTTTATATAGAAGCATCTAAAGTAAGTTATAGGCACTGTACCCTTATCCCCTAACAACCTCACTATGTGTTCCTAACAAAGGGACCCTCTGATAGAACTACAGCAATCAAACTCAGAAAAATTAGCATCAAAATAACCCTTACCTAATCCACAGCCAGTATTCGAATTCCCACCAGCTACATGTCTCTCTAGCCTGGGATCTGGCATCATGCCTTTAATGACATCGCTTCAGTCACTGTGAATCTAGAGCTGCTTGCCTTTCCTGGTGGTCCACAAAGCTTGTTTTGTCTTTATTATTTATTTATTTATTGTTCTTTAAGACAGGTCCTCTTACTGGGACCTGGGGCTCACAATCCTCCTGTCTCTGCCTCCCCAACGCTGGGATTTCAAGTGCCCACACCCACCCCAGCCTTCTTGGATTGTTGAACTCTGGTCTTCGCATTAGCATGGAAAGAACTTTATCAACTGTGTTCTCTCACCTGCCTCTACCTAGTCTATTTTGATGTCCTCTGAATTGTCTCCTTTAGGGCCCCAGCACAGCGCTGAGATGCCAGCTGAGGCAGCCACTGGGCCACAGACAGAAGCCAGAGGCCAGCTGTCCACTACTGTAGTGCTTCTAATGAAACTTCTAGGCCCATTCCCTGGCACCTGTGCCTCGGGTCCCCAGCAAACAACCTCCCCTAGACCGCTCCCACCTGTCTGACAGCATGCTTGTAGTGCTCCTGGATGCCCTTGGTTGGCAGCTGCCGGCAACAACGCAGCAAGTAACGGTAGAGCTGCAGCGGTGTCTGGACCAGCTCTGCCCCCGGCAGTGGGGCCATCTGTGAGCCCCAGCCCTGAAAAACACAGAACATCAATTTCTTAGATACCAAGCCAGCTCCATAGTGGCCTGGTCTCCAATCCCAGCCCTCTGTGAATCATCTGCACAGAGGCTAGACCCCCTTGTGGTCCAGCCCCGGGTTGGGGCTAGCCTTAGCACAGGGCAGGCCCACAAGGACCCAATGCCTGTGTAGAGGGGGATGTGTCAACTCAGCCTAGAGTCTTCTAAAGCTCAGCTTCAGGCAGGAGATGTACAGAGGAAATGAGCAGAAAACCCAGGCAGCAATCAAGCTGCCCACAGCCGCATACATCCTAGTTGGAGCATCGGGCAGGAGGGCAGAAAGTCCAAAGGTCCAAAGCCAGAGGTCAAAGTGTCACAAAGCCAGAGCACTGGCAAGACCTGGAGCTCATCAGGCATGCAGTCTTGATCCCAAGCCAGATAGGTGCATGTTAACATGACCCTCAGCGGATCCGAATGCACATAGTGGCTCCCATGAAGAAACAGCTAAACACAGGGTGACCACAGAGAAACAACTAGTCATGTGACTTCATCTTACTGAGTCATTGATATCGATGAGCACAGTATACAATTGACACATAAGCTAATGCAAACACAAGAAAAACTAAGCAGTTGCTAGGCGGTGGTGGCACACGCCTTTAATCCCAGCACTCGGGAGGCAGAGGCAGGTGGATCTCTGTGAGTTCGAGACCAGCCTGGTCTACAAGAGCTAGTTCCAGGACAGCCTCCAAAGCCACAGAGAAACCCTGTCTCAAAAAAAAAAAAAAAAAAAAAAAAAAAGATAGACTAAGCACAAAGGGGTCAAGTAATGTGCCCAAGCTCACACAGCTGATAAAAGGTCAATCTGAGATTTGAACCTGAGCAGTCTGGCTCCAAGGTCCTATTAAAAAAAGGGGGGGGAGGGGTAGAAGGGACCCGAAAGACAATTGTCAGGGTACTTGTAACTGAGGTTGAAGACCTGAGCTTGGTTCCCAGGACCCACATGCTGGAAGGAGTGAACCAACTCCCTCAGGTTGTCCTTTCCCCCATATGGCACACACTGTGTCCACACATGCACACACACACACACACACACACACACACACACACACACTACATGTAATTTTTAATGTTTTCTAAAAGTAGGGCTGGATATGGTAGCACAAGTCTTTAATTCCAGAATTTGGAAGGCAGAGGCAGGCAACTTTCTGTGAATTCCAGGCCAGCCAAGATTATGTAGTGAGACACTGCCTCAAAAAAAAAGGTTTTTGTTTGTTTGTTTGTTTTGGAAGCTAGATGGTTCAGCAGTTAAGAGCACTGGCTGTTCTTGCAGAGGACCTAGGTTTGGTTCCCAGCAACCACATGATGGCTCACAACTGTCTGTAACTCCAGGTATGTGGTGAGTCTGATGCCTCTTCTCCCCTCTAGATACCAAGCATGTACGCAGTACATATATACAAGAAGGCCAACACTCATGCCCATAAAATGAAAAACAATTTAAGATCGTTTAAATACTGGGGAAAGGTGCTATTAACACACAATTGATGCATGCATTTACAGTGAGCCATCTGGTATCGATTCACATGCTCACCTCTGCAGGCACCACACCAGAATGAAGAGTGAGCGCGTCCACCCCAAGACAGCCTCTCTGCATTCCATACTTCCCATCCTCCAGCAGCGGCTGACGGCCTTCCCTATCTCAGGTTCCTTCCCAAGTTCTCAAGGTTTGTGTAAGGAGAACGGTCTGCCACGCTTGTTTTCGGTCTATGGACTCCATATATTCAAAATAAAATTTGAATCTGTTTTTTCAGCTATTACATAAATCTTAAGAATTATACATATTTATGGAGTACCACGGGATATTTCAAAACATGTTTACACTGTGTGATTTTTTAAAGTTGTATTCTTTTTTAATTATAGCATGAATGGGTCTATGGGAGGGTATGCACAGTGTGAGGGTGGTGCCCAAAGAGGACAGAGGCATCAGATTCCCTGGAGCTGGAGTTACAGGCAATTTTGAACCTGCCATGAGGATTCTGGAAACTGAACTCAGGTCCTCTGGAAGAGTGCTATGCACTTTTAACCACGCCATCACATGTGCTCTTCCGAAAGAGCCCACAACTCCACGTGAACTTTTTCTTTATATATGTGTGTGTGTTTTTTTTATATATCTCGTGTGTGTGTGTGTGTGTGTGTGTGTGTGTGTGTGTGGATGTGTGTGTGGTGTAGTGTGGTGTGTGTCTTAGTACCCTACCTAACACCCTACTGTCACTCATTCTCTTCCACACTTGATACTAAGTGATCTCTGAGCTCTCTTCTGGATGCTTCCATGTCAGCCCCAGGAATTCTTCCCAGAATCTCCAAACTATCAAGGCCCTCAGTTCTCTGCAGGTCTGCATGGCAGTGCTCCATTCCCAGACCCTCGGCGGAACCCTTTCCCTCTGGGAAGCCCTTTCTGACTGTCCTTCCTCGGGTGGGAGTGACTCACTCTGCTGCCACACCGATGTGGGGGGGGGGTTCTAAGATGAACCAATCCGACCCATTATTTCCTCAGTATGGGCTTTCGAGGAGGTGGGGTGGGAGTGTCCCCTGTGTGCCAGACGAAGAGTCAAAGATAGAGAGACTGTGTGACCGGTGCTAATTTTAAAGAAGCAAGGGCATGGGAGAACCCCCATGAGAACCAGACTCTAGCTCTGTCGGGAACCCCTTCACTAAAAGGGGATAGACAGGCTGGGTTCAGAGGCATGTGCACTCTAGTTCAAGCTTATCTTCCCAGAGCAACACAATCTCATTTCCTCATGGTTCTTCCGGCTGGTGCTGACACTGGAGTTGGCTGGCAACTGTCCTCCCCCAACCACCCATTCTCCCTCCTAGTAAATGCCAGCTTTGCAGAACTCAGCGTGCACACGGGCCCAACCTGCCTGACCAACCAATGCCCAGGATTCATATATGTGCAGGGATTGGCTCACAGATGAGCAGCTGGGACTGGAAAAGTCTGCTTCCGCAACTAGACTCAGAAAGTCTTTGAGGAAATCATCTTGCCTCCTCTTGGCTCCGAGCAGAACGCAGAGCTGGAATTTGCCACAACAAAGTCCAAAGACCTCATTTAAGCCCTAAAATGCTTCACCCATAGGAACCCAGGCCCCAGAACTCTTAATAGCCTGACCAATTACCATACCAGCTTGAATGGTGGTTCTGTCACCTTCAACCCAAAGAATTCAGATAGACCTTGACTCCCCATGGCTACTTCCAGGGATTGGGGGTGTGGCTCAATTGGTAGAGAACCTGCCTTAGCAGGCAGGAAGTTCTGGACTCAATCTTCAACACTGCAAACAGAAAGCATGATGGTACAGCACTAGGAAGGTAGAGGTAGCAAAATCACAAGGTCAAGGGCACCCTCGGCCACTTTAGCGGGTTTAAGGACAGTCTGGGCTACAGGTCTCAAAAAAAAAAATTAAATTAAAAAAAATATCTATGACCCACTTCAGTGATTCCAGTTGTAGGAAGTCTAAGCAGGTCAGGGCTCTTCAAGTCCCTGATGTCATCATTCTGACCAGCCCTGCCTGCTTTGGCCTGTTCAATAGGGGGAGACCCCATAAACTGTCATGGGCAGGCCCCTGAAGGGCAACCACAGAGGACACACTACAGTCCCAACACGGCAGGCATCCGCTGGCAGGCTTCCCCAGACTATATAAAGTGCTAATCAAATATTGTAAAATGCTAGTCCAGAACAGATGGTTGCCATCTGCAGTCCTCAAACTTAACATTTGGAAAGAGCACAACTTTGCTTTGCTGCTTTAAAACCCAAGCAATACTTAGTAACCAACCCAGCAAGTATGGGCGGAAGATTATTTTCAGCTCAATTATATTACTTAGTCATTCTCAGTAATAACAAGTAGAGAATACATGTGTGGGTCCACTGAGAGGAGCTGAACTAAAAATGCTTTAATTTAATTTAGAGTGTGGGTTTACTATCATTAAGGGGGCCATGAACCTCCCAGCACCATTACCAAAACTACAGTCAACCCCTCTGACCCTAGTAATGCTCACTTCTCTCACTGTGCCCTGTGGACTTGACCTTAGCCTCACACCCCAGCCCTGTGCCTCTGACAGCTCCAGCTCCCAGGCAACCACACTCAGATGGCCACCAGCAACCCAGCTACTCCTTTTCTTTCAATCCCTGAAATCCTATCAAATTCTACCTCTCTGTGCCTCTTAAGATTTATGGCTCCTTCTAGTCCAGATTCATTCTGTCTCAACTGCTAAAGTCTGGATCTGTTCTCCACCCAACAGCCCAACTGAACCTGAAACATACGTTTCAGGGTACCCAGTCCCCTCCAAGTCCCCCTATTAGTCATTCCCATACCTTGTCCCACCTTGTCACTCTGGCAACTTTTCTCAAAATGTGGACTAGCCACTTGAACTTATTTTAAGCAGCCTATGAATAGACCATCTCTTTATCATAATGATGTAATACCTACATAAGTATGAAAAATCTCAATTTCATAGGCATTATGCTTAAAACAGTTTTGGTTTTGTTGTTGTTTTTAAAGAATGGGTACAGAAATGTAAATATCCCAAGCAAATAGAGATGCAGTCAAAACGAGGAGAAGACAGAAACAGTGAAAGCGTCACTGAGCAGGGATGGTGCCAGTCTACAGAATACACTGAGGCTCCTCTCCATAGCCCACCCCTCAACCCCACCCCTCAAGCCAAGTCCAGGCAAACTGAGCCCTAGATGGGGCAGTCTGTGGAAGCTATGTCTAGGGATGGTCTCCACACTGTGACAGGTGACAGAAGGCTTGACATAAAACAAATGTATTAGTTAGGGTCCTCAGAAGCAAAACCTGTAGGTATCGTGTGGTGTGTGTGTGTGTGTGTGTGTGTGTGTGTGTGTGTGTGTGTGTGTGTGTGTGTGTGTGTTTGAGAGTATGTGTGAATGTGTGTATGTGTGGGGTGGGGGAGTATGTATGTGTGTGGGGGTCTTAGTTAGAGTATCTATTGCTGTGAAAAGACACC